GTTGTCGTAAAGAGATTGAACGTGGAACTGTAGCCCGAGATACGAAACGTTCGACGTGTATACGATATAAGTCGGGAGGGTAAACTCGTCCGCAACGTCTAACATTGACGTGCAGAACATGTCCACTACAACACCAGCGAGCCGCGTGTCTGAACGTGTCGAAACGTCCTTAACGAGCTCGGACACGGCAGCTCTTACGTATGGTTTCTTGCTCTCGATGTAAGCCACGTGTGATAGGTTTGGATCTTGATCGACGGTGGGGAGGAGGCAGTAGTGGAGACGGTCTTCGGACTTAGTGTAGACGGAGGAAGAAGCGTCGTTTGAGAAGTGTGAAGGGATCACGATGAGAGTGACGGAGAGACGGTCGTCACTGTCTACGAGAAGCTTCGCTAACGCCGTTGTTGCTCGGATATGGCCAACGCCCGGTGATGGTATGAAGACAAGCTCGATTTTCATGACGTACACTTTTGTTTGGACTTCAAGAATGGATTGATCGTGTGGCTTGTTGGTAGAGATTAAAGGGTATATATTGACAAAAACTACTAAAAAAGTGTGGGGTGTGTTTCTAACCTGTTCGGGCTTTTATAACTAAGTAACCAATTAGTAAATGTAAATGCCATGTGCTTACACCAACTTAGGCCTTGAATGGTTGTTGATTTTTAAGTTGATTTTGATTTAATTTTTACAAAAATATACTTTATACCCAATCAAGATTATGAGAAAATTAATTTTCCTAAAAAGTAAGGAATCTAGATTTTGATGGTTTCCTAAAATCCACTTTTATCAGTTTTTCACTTTTTTTTAGGTGATTGATTTTTTTTCTTTCTATTTTTAATTTTTAAAATATTTTAACACAAAAACTATAAATTATAAACCAAAATATAAAATCTAAAACCCAAAAACTATAATCTAAAAACCACTAAAAAACTTGCAAACATTCATGGCCTTATTAGTTATAAAAGCACCTTATGTACAATTAGATCCAAATAATACAGATTTTTATTAAATTCTTATTATTGCATGCAGTTGTTAATTAGTGAATATAAACTTTAGGCTATTACTGAAATTATGGTACAAACCAAATATATATACTTTAAACAATTTCTTGAAAACAACAAGTATAGGAGATAACAAGAACAGACATAAATTGATGCATTGTACAAACATAAAAATAAAGATTATTATTAATTTTTGCTCTTATTATTTGTAATAACGTAGTGTACATTTAGTGAATTAATTCTAATTTCTAAATTCAGGTTGCTGAAGGCAAAAAAAATATTAACTTATGGTATAAGATAAAATAAATATTTACAATTACGTTAATAACAATCATCTTTTTTGGTTTTGTAACTTTTGTTCAAAACAATCAGCCATTAAAGCCGAAAAACAATAGTAACGCTATAACAGTGTTAAAGATGTTACAGCCCATTTATAAGCTCTCTGGTTAGAAGTATAGGCCCATATTGTATGGCCCAAATATGGCCATTTAATGGGATTTTAGATATACGATTTGAGTCCCGAGATCTCCTGCCTCGCCGAGAGGATCTTCTTCATCACCGTCGCTCGGAAAA